GATTTTTTTTCTTTCTGGCGAACAAAATAACCATTCTCGAATTTAGTTGCCCCAATTCCAATAAAATATTTTAAATCACCCAAACCCTTCATAAAAAAACTGCAATATTAACTTACCCTACTATTGTGACTCCCACTAAGAAATTCAATTGGATTTTGATTTTGTATGTAGGATCAAATGACGGTGGCCAATAAAGTACCAATTGTATGGGCTCTATTTTGAACGGCAGTAGAAATCAATTTTTGTGTTTGTTTGCATTCGAATTTTTGTGTTCTCTGAGGTTTAAAGACTTAGAATTCAACATGTAAAACATTTTTAAAAATCCAATAAATTTTTGAAATGGGTAACTCACAATCACTTGCCAATATTATGAATCGAACTCAACGTATAATCTATTGCAACAAAATGAACTGATTCCAAAGGTTCTAGCATGTTTAGTTATGCTAATGTAGATTGGAGCCATACAAAATTCTTTTCGAAATTATAGCAATATTGAGTAATATGTATAAATAAGCACAATGATATTCAAAGAAAAAAAAAAAGAATAGATGAGCATGAACACAAGAGGGGGATGACAGCTTAATTACCATTCCATTTGACTCAAGTAGACTGCAAAATTTTGGGTGAGATGGTTGTATTTTCCCACTGGTAGGTAGAACCAATGTCTCCACCAAACTTGTTTGGGAAGTTCCTTAGAAAGTAGCACTATCAGTGTAGTTCTCAATAATACTTTTGAAAGAGGTAGGCGGGTTAGTTGGGATTGGAACCTTGGCCATGCTGATGCAGCCATTATCTCCTTAACCATTGGGTCAGCAGCCTTGACCCCAAAGAGACTCTTGTTTAATATGTCCCCATTTTCCGAAGGGCAAATTCGAGCTCAAATGCATTTCACAATCGAACAAAGTTCGATATGTCCACTGGTTTCTGGTTGTTTGATGGTGCCTTCACAAGAACTGATTATTGTCGAATTTGTTCGAGCACTTGCTGATCTGGAGAGAAACTTCTAGCCTCAAGCAAATCCAAAACTGATACATCCTTATGAAGCTGTTCTGACACAATTCAATCGTATCTCAAAAAAAGAACAAAGTTCAATATGTCTCTTGTGTTTTTGAATTTGGAATGTTGGACAGTGGCTTTGCAATAAGTTAGGGATCCTTGTCTGATTCTAATACTTGCTCATGTGAAAGAAATTCCAAGCCTGTGCCAAATCCAAAAACTAGTGCATCTTTATGTATGTTATTTTAATGTATGTGACATGTGAAATAGATAGATGTACTGAAGAATCATTATGTAACTAGCATTGGGTAGTGTTAGTTGGAGCAGGTTGAAGGTGGTCTTTCACCTTTAATGGCATTGAAGGAAGAAGGTTCCCCCTTTGGGACCACCCATTGCCCTTTATATGAGGGTCTCAGACTCTATCCGTGGTCCTTATGGGGCATGTGCCCATTGGCATTAATAACTCAAATCTCACTCTTTTTAACAATATTGGCATCATTCATGAGATCATGGAAGTTGTATATAAGGATGGCAACAGCCGGGCCTGGGCTGGACCAAAACTTGCTTGTTAGGGCCAGGCAAGACCCAGCTAGGCTAAAAAAAAAAAATAATAGAGAAAATAAATGAAACAAGGAGCAAAAAAAGAGGGTCGGGCCAAGCCGAAGTGGGCCAGCACTGGCCCTAGCATGGCCCTTGGGCTACATTTTATGGCCCAAGCCCTACTTTTTTTAAGCGGAGCCACCCCACCCATTGCCACCCCTACTTGTCTCTTAGGTTTAGGATCAAAATTTTGATAGAAAAATATGTCAAAGATCATAAATTGAATATTAAAGAGTAATAATGAAAGATTGAGGTAGTTCGATGCTTGGCACGTGTGGTCCCAAACAAGATTTGCATTTGAAGCAAGTCCAACGCAGGATCTCACAGGGTTGATATTTCGCTGGTCCCGTTCCGACACGCACTTAGAAGTGATGCGTGCTTTTGAGCCTTAGATCGAGGGATTGGTATTGGAATTGAGATGAGGGAGCAAGGGTCGCTTTCGAGAAAGACAAGGGCATGTGTAAGAAAAGAAAAATAAAGCAACAGGACGTAGAGGATAGAGATAGAGTTTTTTTAGAGAGAGGGAATTTTTTACACTGCAATAAAGAGAATGATAGAGAGAGAAGAGAGGGAAAGAGTTTGTAAGGGAGGGAACAGACACGCATAGTGGGAGTGGGGCTGGGACTACAAAAGAGAGGAGACAAAAGGGGACACCACCCCAGAAGAGGTGAAAAATAAAAGAAATGCATAAAAAAATCCCCCTCGAGGAAAAACCTTCAAAAATCCCGCTCATACGAAATTATAAAACACAACGTTTTAAACCCGGATCCATGGCGGATATGGATTGCCAATTTGGATCGACTTTAGATTGGTCAAAATTAGTGATCTCAAAAATATGAAAAATAAAAATAGAGGTTTTGGGGACAAGAATTTAAGAGGATTTAAAAAATATTATATATATATATATATATTAGAGGGGGATTTTCAAAGGTAACATGGTGGTATTTATACCAACGTAGAACCAATTTGGTCCATATAGATTTCTATATCTGTTGATGATCTAAATCAATGATTTAAAAAACCTTGGGTTGGCACAAAATCGCTCGATTCGATTCGAGAATCAGTCACTCGTACCAGTTCTGTGAATATATAAGAAATCGTCGGGGTCTAGAAGAAAACTAGTGATTTGCTATAGTAAAATGTCGTTGTGCTACACTAAAAACGTCGATTCACCACTGATTGATACCGATTCTTGGTTGGTTTACTGTTTTTGCACGTGTTCTTTCGCCGATTCACTATCAGTAAAATATTGACCTGGATCACCGATTCACTGATCTAAACCGGGTTTTACAATACCCCATCATCCGATTTTTAAATTATTTATCTGAATAAAAAATCGTCTCATTTTGATACACTAAAACGACATAACCATCCTAAGTGTATCTCATGGTTCCATTTCAAAATTGGAAAATGAAATATTTCAACAGTAAACTACTCAATATTCCTCAATTAAGGAAAAATTCAGGGGCAGTATGATTGAAGGATATTCTAGTAACTTGAACCGGCGCCAAGGGCATTTCTATAGTAGCCCCGTTATAATAAGAGAGAGAGAGAGAGAGTGTGTGAGGGACCATAGAAAGAGAGTATAAAGGCTCAGAGAGGGGACAGTGGGACCACGGAAGCTGGCTTTACTTTCTAAATCCTGTTCAGTCAAAACTCAGTCCGCTCCCTGCTTTTGAACAACTCATCATTTGTTTCTATCCATGTAATAAAAACCATTTATAAAGAAAAGGCCTATAATGCGGATATAACACAAGAAGACAACATAACCTTGGGTTTTTCTAAACAATTGCAACACTACCCATGATTGATTGCCCTGATCTGGTGCAACGCGAAAGGGTAATTTCGTCAATTGAGAGGAATCACGTTGTTTAGCTAGTGGCGAAAAGGATGGATCATAAAGAAGAAAATAGAAAAGTACTTTTATTTTATTTTTTACAATTATCCGAAAACGAGGCTCAACCCTCCATAATAAATAATAATCATTTTGTATTTTATTTTTTTAATAAAAAGTGGGGCGAGAGGCATCCAAGGCCCCCTCGAAGCGATAAAAAATGGGACAAAACATCATGGAAAGCGGCATCAATCTTTCGTTTTCCAGGGAGAGATAATAATCACCCCCTTCCTTGTCACCACAAGTTTGAAATCATCAAGGTTAAAAATAAGGTGTAAGTTTCATGAAAAATACAAAAATGTAAAGGAAAAATTTATGTAAGGTTTATAGTTTTACTTTTTTGGGTAATTAGATTTATAGTTTAAAACATAGAATTAAGATGCACCTATAAAATCTTAAAAAAAAGAAGAAAAAAAAAAGAAGAAGCTATTTTGAAGTCAGAAAAATATCGAACTCATCATCTCAAAATCGAGATATACAGATATAAAGAACAAAAGAGATTTTAAGTCTTAAAAATAATATACCTTGCATCAAATTACTTGGATTCTTCATTGACTTTCATGTATTTATAAATCTGCTTGATTTAATAAGTTCATAATTTCATAATTAGAGATAAAACTAGAGTCTTGCGCCAACCTAAAATTTTTGTAACTAAAACCATAGGTCATAACAAAGTTTGAATATTTTCCTTACTTTGGTCAAGATTGCAACCTTGTACAAACCATACCCAACCTAAAAACCTCGACTATGATACATTATCTAGATGGTTTAGACAATTTTTTGAATTGCAAATTTTATAATCCGTGAAAGAAATATATTGTAAATAAAAATTTTGAAATATTTTCGGTTCAGAGGTAAATTCTATTTCGATATTGAAAAAGAAATTAATACTTTAAATCTAATATCTTTACTATGGTTTTTGCTATTGTTACCAAAAACACGGGTGCCAATATTTTGTCAGCAAGGTGTTTAGAGAAAATTCTGTCGAGACAAAAGCATGCACTGTACACCCTGTCCGAGGCGTTGAGCAAACTTGAGCTCACTCTATGTCTAGACTCTAGTACCTACTCCCTCTCTCTCCTCTCTTTTTTATTTATTTATTTATCTTTTATAAAGGTGGAAAGGGGCTTGTTGGGGACCCGATCTACCAGGCTCTAAAAATTAGAACGTGGGCTAAAAACTGTGGCTAGAGGGTTAAGTGCAATTATAGCCCGATGGTAGGGCCACGTTGGGTCGGCTGATTCAAATTAACCTGATTAAACCGCTTCGGAGCCCATGACAATCCGGGTTCAATTTTGCGAACACGGGCCCACCCCCCTACTTTTTGAATGGTAATCCGTAGCCGTCCATCATCGCGCTTTCTACTCTCTATCTCTCTCTAGAACCCCTTACTCACCTCTGAGGTACCACAAGGTCCAGACGTTTCACTCTCTATCCGGCGATCTTTAGTCTGTAGTGTATCGTACATTGTAATTTGTAGTACTTGAATTTTTACTCTATTGCTCACTACTTTCTCTCTCTACCGTTCTCTTATAACACTCGGTCACGCCATTTCCCTCCCCCCATTTCATGTCCACCAGTGGAGAAAGCATGGTGGCCCTCTTCCTCCTCCTCCTCGTCCTCTCCACTCTCCACCACCACCCCATCTCTGCAAAATCTTCTCACTCCAACGAATACCGCTACCTTCTCTCTCTAAAAGCCGCCATTATCGACCCCGACAATTCTCTCCAGAGCTGGAACTCCTCCACAGACTATTGCTCATGGAGTGGCGTAGCATGCGACGCATCATCGAACCATGTCGTCTCTCTAGACCTCTCGGCCCGAAACCTGAACGGGACCCTCGCCCCCGAAATCGGGCGGCTGAGAAGCCTCGTGAACATCACAGTTGCAGAGAACCAGTTCGCCGGTGGGATACCGCTGGAGATATCCCAGATCAACGGCCTCAAGCTTCTCAACCTCTCTAACAACTACTTTAGTGCCAATTTTCCTGCAAATTTCTCCGGGCTCAAGAACCTCGAGGTATTGGACCTCTATAACAATAATCTCACTGGCCCTTTACCACTGGAGGTTACAGAGATGGAAGCGCTTAGGCACCTTCATTTAGGTGGTAACTTTTTCACTGGTACAATACCACCTGAATATGGAAAATGGGGGTTTATCGAGTATTTAGCAGTCTCTGGTAATGAGCTTACTGGTAAAATACCTGGTGAGCTTGGAAACTTGACAAAACTCCAGCAACTCTATCTTGGCTACTATAACATTTATGAAGGTGGCATACCTCCCGAGCTCGGGAACTTATCAGCGCTTGTGAGGTTGGATATGGCGAACTGCGCGCTCTCTGGTTCGATTCCACCAGAGTTTAGAAAGTTGCAGAAGCTCGACACCCTGTTTTTGCAGGTTAATGGGCTCTCTGGTCCAATTACGCCAGAGCTTGGAAGCTTGAAGAGCTTGAAATCCATGGATCTGAGCAATAACATGCTTGATGGACAGATCCCTGTGGAGTTTTCGGAGCTTAAGAACCTGACCCTTTTGAATCTCTTCCGAAATCGGCTTCATGGCTCAATCCCTGGTTTTATTGGGGATTTGCCTGAGCTCCAGGTCCTTCAGTTGTGGGAGAACAATTTTACAGGGAGTGTTCCTCAACAGCTTGGAATGAATGGTAATCTCATTCTTTTGGATATCTCATCGAACAAGCTCACTGGTTCAGTTCCGCCTCAGCTTTGCTATGGTGGAAAGCTTACCACTCTGATAACCCTAGACAACTTCTTGTTCGGTCCGATACCAGAGTCCCTCGGTGAATGTGTTTCTCTCGCTAGAATTAGAATGGGAGAGAATTACTTGAATGGTTCGATCCCAAAAGGTTTGCTCTCTCTCCCAAATCTTGTTCAGGTCGAGCTCCAAGCTAACTATCTCACTGGAAATTTGCCAGATTCAGGTAAAGCCTCTGAAAATTTAGGTCAGTTGAGTCTGTCGAATAATCGGCTTTCTGGCCAACTTCCTGCAAGTATTGGCAAATTTTCCAGCCTCCAAAAGCTTCTTTTGGATGGAAATGGATTTTCTGGCCAAATCCCTCCCGATATTGGTAAACTACAGCAACTTTCGAAGCTCGATTTCAGCGACAACAAGTTTTCTGGTGAGATTTCGCCAGAGATCACCAACTGTAAGCTGCTCACAGTCGTTGATCTCAGTGGAAACGAGCTTAATGGAACGATACCCTCTGAGATCACGAAGATGAGGATTCTCAACTACTTGAACCTGTCGAGAAACCATTTGATGGGTGGCATTCCACCTTCCATTCAAACAATGCAGAGCTTGACTTCAGTTGATTTTAGCTATAACAATCTCTCTGGTTTGGTTCCTGGTTCAGGTCAGTTCACCTACTTTAATGCCTCTTCTTTTGTGGGGAACCCAGGCCTTTGCGGCCCTTATCTCGGTCCCTGTAAATTTGGTTTATCCCCTTCTTCTCAAACTAAAGCAAGGGGCCCTCTCTCTTCAACCACCAAACTCCTGCTCGTGATAGGCCTCCTTGTTTGCTCGATCGCCTTCGCAATAGCTGCCATTATCAAAGCTCGATCTCTCAAAAAGGCCAATGATGCCAGAGCTTGGAAACTCACTGCCTTTCAGAGATTGGATTTCACGTGTGATGATGTTCTTGATTGCTTAAAAGAGGAGAACATTATAGGGAAAGGTGGAGCTGGGGTTGTGTATAAAGGATCAATGCCTGGTGGCGAACAAGTTGCAGTGAAGAGATTGCTTGGAATGGGGCGTGGGTCTACCCATGACCATGGTTTTTCAGCTGAGATTCAAACGCTCGGGAGAATAAGGCACCGGCACATCGTTAGATTACTCGGGTTTTGCTCAAACCAAGAGGCTAATCTTTTGGTCTATGAATACATGCCTAACGGGAGTTTAGGAGAGGTTTTGCACGGAAAGAAAGGTGGGCATTTGCATTGGGATACTAGGTATAAGATTGCAGTGGAAGCAGCCAAAGGGCTATGTTATCTACACCATGATTGTTCGCCCCTCATACTTCATCGTGACGTGAAATCGAACAACATATTGCTTGATTCAAGTTTTGAGGCCCATGTTGCAGATTTTGGGTTGGCAAAGTTTTTGCAGGATTCAGGAACCTCAGAGTGTATGTCCGCCATTGCTGGCTCCTATGGTTACATCGCCCCAGGTACCACAAATTCATTTTTTTTTGCTTTTTTCAAAAGTGTTGACTGTTCTTCATTTTGAATTGCAATTAGGTGAATGTTACCAAGTGTCTTAGGCAATAATTTTTCATAAATTGAATATGCTAATTATTAACTGGACTTGGAATTTTAATTTTTTCGATTACATGAATGAAATACACTGAATATGCGGAGTATGTTTGTATAGATGAGCTTAAAATTTCATGTTTTGACTGTGGATGATTGTGAAAGCAAAAAAGAGATCCATTGAAGTGGGTGGGTGGTTGGAGTCAAATTGGACTAGATGTGAGAAAAGGTTATTTAGACCTTGAAATGGCGGGCTATGGGGATTTTATTTGAGTTTTTCATAACCAATAGGGTTTAGGCACTTGACCTCTTTTTACTGACTGACTAATTCACAGTGGAAATTTAGAAGCCATGATATGCTGCACCTGTAGCTGATGTGAAGTTTCCTCATTGTCTTATCTCAAATAGCCCATTGTGTGTCCTGTGTCTTGCTCTCTGAGATTAACCAAAACCGTACTTCTTGTATAAGCTGCTCCATGGCCGCACCTCAAAGCCAGCCATAGAGTGTCTTATGTTGTCTCTCTGTCTCCACTATTAGCAGTGGCCAGTACCCTCCCTTGTTTACAGTGTACAGCATAGTAGTAACTTATACTTGACCTATTTTCTACAGTGATCCTCAACTTTGTCCCCAAAAAAAAAAAATCCGAAAGTGGAGTAAATAAAAGGCCAAAAAAAAAAAAGCAATTTCCATCGCTACTATTTAGTATTGCATTGGACTGAGAAAATCAACAAAAAGAGGGGATGCAAATCACCCTAAAGGAGCAGTTAGTTTTCGTTTTTCTTGATGGTAGAGATTGCAATGGAATGATACATTAATCAAGGAAAAAGGGGAACTCAACTCTTATAACACCCATTCCCAATTTCTTCTTTTCAATGATTTGAGTTGCATTATGATTTTTTTTTTGTTTTGTTTCAGAGTATGCATACACGCTAAAGGTTGATGAGAAAAGCGATGTATACAGTTTCGGGGTGGTTCTCCTAGAGTTGATTACCGGGCGAAAGCCTGTGGGTGAATTCGGTGACGGTGTCGACATTGTTCAGTGGGTGCGTAAAATGACTGATTCAAAGAAAGAAGGGGTCCTCAACATTCTCGACCCAAGACTACCCACTGTTCCACTCCATGAGGCAATGCACGTCTTCTATGTCGCAATGCTTTGTGTTGAGGAGCAAAGTGTTGAGAGGCCGACTATGAGAGAGGTTGTTCAAATTCTCACCGATCTCCCCAAGCCTCCAGAGCAACCGAGCCCTACAACGCAAAAGCATGGTGGCATAGGTGGTGGGGATGCCTCTCCAGAGCCGAACGGGCCGAATGTTGGCGTTAAAGAACAGCAGGGCCAGTTGCCTCCTCAGTCTCCTCCACCTGATCTTCTTAGTATCTAAGCATAGTAAACCAGGGTCTCTTACCGAGAAAAAAGGAAATGTCTCAGTTCACACACTATCTCCCTATCTGTTTCTCTCTAATCATTCCAGTGGGGTTTGTGTGATGTTTGTAGCCCAATTTCCTAATCAGTTTACTTCTCTCACTTCATCTTTTCATTGGGGTTTGTTCACTGTTCTCCCCAAATTTTTATTGATTCTCTCTCTCTTCTTCTTTGCAATGGGATATAGTAGTCCCTCTGTTCCTGCTCTCTTATCTTTCTCTCTTGTCTGCAATGGGATGTAGTACTTCCCCTGTTCGTGCTTGTGAACTCTCTTTCCATTTCTTTTCTCGTCTCTTCAATGGGGTCTAATACTTTCTTGCGGTGTCACTCTCTTACGTCTATTGGGTGGGTTTTCAAGAATTTGGCGATAAGAAATGGAGTGGATTTTACTGATCATTTGGTTGATTTCCTGTACAGAGGACTTGCTTTTGGGTTTCTTTTTTGTTTTTGTTATTGGGAAAATGTCACAGCAAATGCACCAGGCCCAGTCATTTAAATGTGTAGGGTTTTGTAGGAGTTATCATTTATGAAAGAGAAGACTTTCCTTTTCTTTATTGTTCTCTTTATGCTCATAGCTTTCAATTTCCGAGGCTCTCTCGATTGAAGAGAGAGAGAGAGGGAATAGTTTGGTTTCAGAGTTTGCTTCAGAGGAGAGGACCTTCGTCGTGTGGGAAAAGGAAGTCATGGGAATTAGTAACACTGAAACCTCTCTCTCTCTCTCCTACCAGTTAAGACGACGAGATTCGCCCGCCGGTAATTCGGTGCAGTTGAAACATTGGCGACATTGCGGCTCCTCCTCATGCGCAGGAGAGATGGACAGAGTGTGAGGCCACGTTGGCAGGTCTCGATTTGACGGCCCACGAGATAAATGACTACCTGATTCTGCTCATGTATCAGACGTGTCGGGTCAGAACCAGCTGTCCTGCACTCTTTTCAGTCTTCTTTTCGACCTCATATGTATATTACGGCCCCCCACTAAAACTCACCTTCGTATTAATATTAGGGATATGCCAAGCTCTTCATAATATAAATATGAAAAAAACAAAAAATTGAACTTTAAATGTTCGCTTTCACCAAACGAACGACCATCTTTGATGATCTTGAACCTTTTCTTTCTTTTTGCTTTTGTTTTTCTTTTTCCCTCGTGGTTTTACTTTTTGGATGGGGTTTTTTGAACCAGTGACTCATGTGTACACATGCGGCTCACTCTAAATCCATATTAAAGAAGGATTTTACAACCCAAATTTTAGGGATTCATCATCTAGGTGCAGGTGATTATGATGTGAAAAAAATAAAATAAAATTTTTAATTTTTAAATGTAGTCATTTTTTTTTTAGGAATTTTTTTTGCACTAGCCATATATTATTTGGTCCGGTGTGCTTTACTCAAGGTCCATCTTAAAGATGGACTTTCGTAGGTTAGTGGGTTCTTCCATCCGTTGGCTTGCATAAACTTTTTCCCACTTTTTCTTTAATTTTTTCTCGCAATTATTAAGATCGACCACTTGGTCGAGTCGTATCCATATGTTTAAACTGGTATTGTCATGTTTATTATAATTGTTTATAAACGAGTCCAATCCCTTATCGATCTATTTTTAATTGATCTGATCCCTTATTGATTCAGATCCTGATAGCTATTTGTTTTTTTTTGAAGGCCGAAGCCAAACATTTACAAGCAAAAAGCTTGTTTTTCAACTATTTTATGGGTCGGAGGCTCCCCACGTGGAAAAATCATATAGTCCTGGATAAAAATATTTGGGCAATGTTAGATTTCAGGGAGGTTTTGGGAGTCAATGTTGCAATTCCATGTTTGATTTTCACTAGGTGAAGACCATTACATGGAAGTGCAGCCTTCGCCACAAACATCAAAAGTGGTCCGTGTTTGGAATACCGGCCTTCCATTGAAAGAATAGAAAGGTCGGCTTTCGGGGGAACTCCCTCCTACTCTCAAAATCTCCGGGCGCCAAAGATTGCGTTACCATGGAAGTGATGGTAGGAGGAGAAACAGATCAAATACTCGGAACGAACTCTAAGAGACGTACTCCGCCGTCTCTCTCGTTATTTATGCACTCTTTCTTTTAAAGTCGCTTGCCTTGATGTGTAAGTGTTGTGTTGGGTGCTGAATTTATTTGTTTGCAATTGTCTCTTTTGCTCGCCGGTGTTGTCAAAGTCCTGTAAAATAAGTTGACGGGTCCAAAATAATTGATGCCGATCGGAGGTTTGTCTCCCTCTCTCTCTCTCTCTCTCTCTCTCTCTCTCTCTCTCTCTCTCTCTCTCTCTCTCTCTCTCTCTCTCTCTCGTCGTCGTCGTACGTACGTACGTACGTACGTACGTACGTACGTACGTACGTCGTACGTACGTCCGTCCGTCGTCCGTCGTCCGT